TGACAAGTTAATTCACTGTAAAAGTGGAAAGGGAAGTTATTTGCCAATCTGTAGTAACAAACTAACATTTTCGAATGTCTTTCGGCCTCCTAATGTGGCGATTCCACTGGCTTATTGGGGCACAGGGCCCCTGTTTAGAAAACCTGTTATGTCACAAACGTTTTTTCCGTTTTAAAAACTTTTCATAAAATAATTGTGTAAGTTCATGTGACTCCAATTTTTTTTCTTCTTCTCCACAATAACTTCTTAATCGGCTGATGATGACCACTATATAGATCCGATTATTTGATGATAATAAACGTTGTGGAGATGACTTGGAGTATTATTACTATATGAACTTCTTCACTCCAGTTTGAGACAACATGGACTTCCACAGTAGGTTATTTCCTATGATGTTGAGTGGAAACTATTGAAAGTGAAATCAATCAATTCGATTTTAACTACCTGTAAAAGTGAAATCAATCGGCTTCAGTTGTTAAAGGAAGACACTTCACAAGTGGTATTACATTCAGGTCCAACATTACAAATACAGAAAACAAAAATTATGCTTATTCATTTGTGGACGCCTATGGTTCCCATGATTGTGGCAGTATTCATATTTCATATCCAACAACCTGTTTTCTACAACTTCCCGATCATCTTTGGCGATCCGGACTAACGAATTCCTGACAATTATTGTTTCCTTGATAGGTATCTATTTTTTGAGGCTCATTTAATGTAAGTCAAACTGGAAGATTGAGATTTGTTCTGAATGATTGGTAATCAATTTTGCTTCAACTAGTATTGGTTCTAATTTTCCTTCCCTTCCTAAGATGGATTTCATGTATTCACAATGGGGAAGTTTCCCATATTGAGGTTTTTATCTCACTGTGAAGTTTGTAAAAAATTAATATATACGTATTTTTTCTTTTTTTCGTCAAAGATCAAATTTCACTTCAGAAAAAAATAAATAAAATAGGAACTTGGCTCCTCCACCATTCCAATGACGTACATTCTGAAAATCCACATTCACACACAGTTAAAATACGATTCCCTGTGCCAGTACGACGTTGCCGACATCATCAATATGTCTAGATTTCCGCTTTCCGGAAATTTTTCTGGATAACATCATAGCAGCAATGGGATATAATAGGTTCTTCAATCCTACTCTGTCAAGTATTATGAATAATTCCCATAAATCTCTCAGCTAAATGTAGTGGATTACTAATAAAGATAAATTATGATATTTTGCGATAGTATCTATAATTTTTCACTATCGTTATATTACAATATGTTATTCACAACTTGTCAGACATTTTTTGCTAATGAATTTGTTTCAATGAAACGGATCAATCTTCTAGGAAAGTTGCAGATTATATCTTGCAACAGCGCCTAATACTTGAGTCCGTCCACACAGCTCAAAATACTGACAGGCACAACAAGAGGAAGGAGCCATGGGTGTCGGCTTCATTCTGTTCTGACCGATGGCAGTAAATTAGGAAGGATAGTATCATTGAATGTAGCCGATAGTGATTCATTGATTCAAAGATCATACACATACTAGATAAGCACCGTAAATAATGGGCAACGCTAAGTTGGGAAGGCACAGAGCGGTGATAATCCGCTGTGCGCATCTATTCATTATAACGCCGCGTATTCCACCGACTCGGATAATAATATTTGGTCAACGTAATAGCACAGCCGATTAGCCGCCGGTCTGTTAGATCCCATCGGAGCGTTGCCAATTTTTAGACAGGCGTTGTCTATCTAGTGTGTGTGTATGATCTTTGATTGATTCAATGATATGTTCGTTTAGGATCAAGCTCTATTGGAGATATTTCAATGCATAAATAACAAGACCATAACCTGTCAGAATGAAGCCAACTACCTTCTGTATTCCTGCTCCGAGTGCATTTGTGGTTATGTATGTTTTTGTTTACCAGTTTTACCTCTTCTTTTTTATCAATCGTGTTTCATTCCTTATCTATTTGCTAGCTATATTCTCCACCATCAGCTAATTTCAGACTAGATTCAGAATGTACGTCACAGTTTTCCGCCCCAAAAATTAGAAATTGCTTTAATTTGAAAATGAAAACGACTTGGACTTTATCGGTCGCCATTCTGTACAACGTGGACATATACTGGAGAGTTCTGACCCTTTTTTTATTAAAATTCATCTGATGGAAACTTCCCCATTGTCTGAGAATAATTCAATATTTCATTAAACTCATGTTTTCTATCCTCAAGCATTGTCTTTTCAAGAGCTCATGAAAATAGATCCAATTATAACAGGTGATAATTGAGGTATCATGAAAATAAACAATGGAGAATAAAGTAATAGTGGCAATATTGCAAATAATAATCAAAATTCAAAGAGTATCAGAAATACTGGAAATGTCTAAAAACAAAATGAATAAATTGTGTACATTTTTTGTGCCTCTTTCAGATAAAGTTCTCAGTAATTATTTCAGAAATACAAAAATCATTGGAACAATAGGGTGAGTCATAACTATTGGGACATAGGCTAAGGGCAGATAAAATATGGTGATAAGACCAAATATGCCTCAATAAAATATTGCTGTTGGAAGAAGATACATGGTGTTTCAATGGAAAAAGTGTTGACTATAAACTCATACCAAAATTCATTCACTGACAAGAAATTTAAATCACCAGCAACAATTATCTGACATTCCAAAGCCCACTCTCCATAAATGAAATATTATTTAAAATCCCCAAAAATATCGTTTTTCAACAAGAGTACCAATATTATGTAAAAAGGATGTTCATGTCATAATTTATAATCAAAATAACTAAAAAAAAAACGTAAATCATCTTATGAAATTATGCCTCTGTGTCATGTGTTTTGAAAATAATTGAAGAATATACAGTGAAGTTATCAGCCAAAAAAAAAATATATTCAAGTTTAATGCCCTGTTTCTTTTACCACACCAATATTTTATTGAAACTTTTTTTTGGAAATACTTCATTCTTTATTAAATAAATTTCATATCACTAGTAACAAGAATGGTTCCCAAAAGGCCTCGGTTAGTAGGTCTCAGGATCATAGATCTGAAATTGACATTTACATGTCTAATTTCATGATAAATGATATTTTTACAGTTCATTGATTAAATTAAATCATATGCTTTACTGAGCCCATTCATTGACATAATTATGACAACAATATTATTACATACATTTGCTAATTTTGTGATTGAAATGTATTCAAACACCAGCATTTCAGTAGAAATTTATATATTATATATAATATGTTACTGCTCTATCTATTGGGTTATACAGTACTGTATTTGTTCTTGGTTTCTGCACATTTCATGTTTAATTCTTGTATCATGTGAATGTAGTTCTTTTCTATGAGATAGTTCAGTATTAGATTTCAATTGTCCATGTACCAGTTTGTATATAAATTTACATTGTTCAAAATTGAGAATAAGTTTTAGTTTATCTAGCTTTGTGTTTATATATACAATCACTGTAGACATGCAATAGTCCAAATTGAATAAAACTTAAACCACCCTGTTTTCTGGCATTTGAATTTTGTTAAATGTTGTTCCACATGTTCCCCAAACTGTTATCATATCTATAGATGATAAGAAGTATGCATTATATATAAAAATAATTTGCTTTAGCATCTTCATAGGGTCTACACCTATAGATTGCACCTATCATTTCAGTTGTTGGCACATCTTTTGAACATGCTCACTTCAACCTAGGGTCTGGTCAATTGTGAGACCTAAATACTTTGTGTATTTCACTTGGTTTAAAGTTGTTTCATCTAATTTGACAGTTATTTCATTCTCCTTAGTATTCCTCTAATCAAAAATCATATATACACACTTTGACTCATTATCCTTCAGCTTATTATGCAATCATCTGCAAAAGTGAAATACCTAGCTTTCAAGTTGGCTATTTGTAGACTCATTACATATATTATATTATTATATAGTAGAGGCCCAATCACAGATCCTTGGGGAACTCCTGTTTTAATAATCTAATAGCTCACTTTTGGTCTTATCCATAATAACAAATTGCTTTTTATTGGTCAAATATGAATTTATAAGTACATTTATATTCCCTCTTATGCCCATTTGATACAGCTTATACATTAAAGTTTTATGGTCCACTACAACAAAAGTCATCTTCAGATTTATAAATACTGTAGTAACATATTGCTTTTCATCAAGATTATTGACATAAATCACAATGTCAGTTGCCACACACAGTGTATTACTGTTTTTTATAAAGCCATATTGATATGGATCAAATATGCCATATGCCTCTAAAAATGTTATGATTCTAGTTTTAATCATTAACTCTAGTATTTTGGCAAAGTTGCAGATAACACTAATTGGCCTATAATTACTCATCACATTTATAGGTCCAGTTTTGTACATAGGACTGATATTCTGTCTTATCACCATATTTGGTTCAAACAATCAGGCCTTAGCCTATGTCCCAATAGTTATGAGTCACCCTGTATATTTCTATACATGACTGACTGGACAAAATAATACCACTCAAGAGGACAATTAAAAAATCCTATAATGAAACACTGGTTGTGAACACATTCCAATATTCAAATTATTACAATAATATGATTCAAATGCAAGTTTTCACTCTCTAAATTTAGATAAGTTAATTGAATCATAGATAAAATAAAGGGCAATAATAAGGAAACATTATAGGAAATGTACTGCTGGGATATTTACTTGATGAATATTGTGAATCTGAAAGGAAACTGAAAGAAAAAATATAAGGATATTTTTAAAAGCAAATGACTTGGTTATTATAAGCCAAACTGCATTTTCTCTTGGGAAATATCTTCATAGTGGATAAAAAACATGCTTAACTGATGCAAAATATCTTCATACAAAAGACAATATCCTCCCTCAACTGTTTTCAATCAGTTTATATTGGAAATTCAAATGGGAACTTCAATGTATTGAAATAGGTAATTATTATTTAGCACTGAATATCTGATAACAATTGATCATTTGTCTTACCAAATCTTTCAAAAGACTACCCCTGGTAGGTGGTTGGAATAAGCCCAAAAGAACAGCCAAACGTTGTGCTTTTTCCAAGGGTGACTTGTCAGTTTCAATGAATCTATCAAATTCTGGATGTGCTGAAGGTAAGGGTATTGCCAGAGTGGCAATCAGTACTCTACATGCCATCCTGAAAAGAAAAAGGAAAATCAGTGAAGGAGTAATAATTTATCATTATTTTATCTATGCAAATTACCTCTGCAACTCTTCTGGTGTTATGTTTTTCTTCATTTCTTTAGACAACTGGAATAATTTGAACAGAGCAGCTGCATGGAAAAGATAATTTCCAGCTTTCCAGAAAACCATAGCTAATTTTTGATAATAGTTGGCCATAGTTTTGGGTACTGGCATTTTCTTTGAAAGATTCATCAAATTGTGAATATCCTCAATAGCCTTGTATGCTTCTTGCCATAATTCCATTTGAATTGCAAAATCTAACTGATGAAGCCTTGTTTCCAAATTCAGTTGCTGAGTCTCAGGTTTGGACATAGAGACATTGGCCACTTGGGTAGGCAGTTTACATATGTCTTCTAGATGTTTTCTCAATTTATCACATAATTTCCTGAATTCAGTCTTTCTGTTGTATTTCAGACAGAACTGAAATGCCATCCTAGCTATATCATGATAGAGATTTTCCACATGTGCATTAGTACGCAGAAGCTCCAAACACTGGCAGTAAGATTCCCATAAAAATTTGACCCAAGGAGTAAGAATTGTACGGTCTGACCGATCCTGAGCATCTTCACCAGAAACAGCACTGAAAATTAAAAATAAATATTTGTTTTCATTACTATCTACTATTCCCAGGTGGACAATGTATAGGTTTTGATTTCATCAACACCATGAGTAGAAGATATTGATTATACCTCAACAATATACTTTCAGGAGTAGCTAAATTATCCAGATCATCAATATCAATAACTGCCTGTGCAGACTGTTCTCTAGCATTTTCAGTTTTCTCTTCAGCCATTCGCAAGTATCCCCTGATAACATTTTCCAAAGAGCCTACATTGACTGATTGGAACATATTCCTGTATTGGAACAGGCCTTCTTTGGCAATGTGTGATTTCTTGAGTTCCACACAAAGGTCCAAATATTTGAACATGATCGGTTCTAACACCGATTCCGACCAGTTGTAAGCCCATTTTTTATTGCGGAATACTTCTTGAAGAGTATCTAGAGCCCTAGCGGGTTTGCCGACTTCGATGAATTCTTGAAGAAAAAAAAATCAGTAATCCATATGTAGTAATTGTATAAAAAGTACTCACCATTCGCTCGCTTCAAAGCATTTTCAGGTCTTTGACCGTATCTTGCCATCTTGAATATTAGCTAGATCTACTAGACTTCACATTAAAGAGAAAATTACAAGAAAAATTGATAAATTCCGCAGAACTTTCATGAAATATTTTGAAGTTAGCCAACAAGACAGCAATGGCCACCACCTAAAAGAGGAAATACTTAATGTGACAGTTGACACTGAGAATATGACAGATGTCTTCAATCAGACGGGAAACGGAAGTAGTCTCCCATAGGGTATGCAATGAACTGTATGTGTTCCGTAAATCAACTTGGTTGTTTCGGTTAGTAGTTTTCCGTTCCGTAAATAGATAGGAAATGTTCGGTTAGTTCCGTTAGTTCCTGAAAAAAGGTTATTTACGGAACACGGTTGCTGAAAAAGCGATAGTTTCACTGTCACCCACTGAATTATAACCCTACGGTTATAGTTCAAAGTTCAGTGCTCAGTGCTGTCACCAGAGCGACCGTGTATTTTCTCTGGTGAGTTCGATAAGTGTTTTAGTAACATTCTGTATCTCTCCATAATAAATCGAATATCTAAAAATTTTTGACTCTGCTCTTTATTATTTTCTGCTCCCATATTGTTTCATTTCTTAGAGATATTTGCGCAAAATAGGGATATCAACGGAGCTCACGGAACCGCACGGAACCATTCCATCCGGAAGGGACCCAAACTTGTGTATGTAAATCACGCAAACGTAGATCCGTGAAAACGGATGCATGTGAAAGCAGCCTCATGATGATGATATCAAGATGTCAACGTGTCAAATAACCAAATGTGTTAAAAACTTCAAAGTTCAAACTTTCATGTCATCTGACCCATCTGACATCTGACCATCTCCATACCAAACCAAAACCAAACTGCCAAAATGTTTGCACCTTGAATCGATTAATGGCCGTTTGTCGTTTGTGCGAGCAAAGCGAAAGCCAAATATGTGAAATGCAACTGTGAATGAACCTGATAGAAACTCTGAAAATTGTTTGTTAAATTGGCTGATTATTGTGGTGTGAATACTGGAACTTTTAATACAGTTTCCGATGTGGAAACATCTACAAATGGGACTTCGAGCATTTTTGCTAATAGCATCAAGAGTTTGGACATGCTTATGTTATACATTGAAAAAACAAACAAGAGCTGTAAGTTTCCTCACCGGATTTCAAATCTAACGTACAGAGTTCATCACCAATCCGTGCCCTATTGTCCTATTTGTATAGTGAAAAAACCTAAATATACTCTATCAAATCTTATTAGAAATCACCATGGTACTTACTGATGAACTGAGGATTGATATAATTCATATTCTTCCTACTATACATTCACATAATCCATTCTGTAGTGGGTTATATATTTTATAATTTCTATAATACTAGGCTAGTTTCCAAAATATGTCATAAGATATTGGCATCATCCCAGAACCTAGTAGCTACCTACTTGGGTAGTCAGTCCTATCCATAACTAATAATAGTAATAATCATACATTTTTCAGATAATTCAGCATCAGTCTGTGAAGTATGATATATTTCCTTTATCACCATTATCAAGGCATAGATTAAGTAAGTACTCTCAAGCATTTTGTTATCGAATTAATTATTCAGATTATTGTTTTTATGTGGAATAAAATACTTGATCCATGAACCATAACTCACTCAAATATTGATAATATTAATAACAACTCTCACAACTTTATTTATATTTTAGGTATAGTGAAAAGAAAGGTGCTTGTCCTAGACTTGGATGAAACATTAATACATTCACATCATGATGGTGTGGTAAGAGAAAGACCTGGGACACCACCTGATTTTGTCCTCAAAGTTGTTATAGACAGGCACCCTGTCAGATTTTTTGTGCATAAGAGACCACATGTTGATTTCTTCCTAGACATAGTAAGTATAAAAAAATATATATAACTTCACTGAGATCAGTCAAACAATTTGCTCAAATCATATTTTCAATGATTTTTTCATTGTAGAAGATGTAGAAATTTTTTTAGTATATTCAGTGATGTTGAGAAATTTCAAGAAAATTAGATTGGGTCAAAGTGAATACTATAATGATCATAAATCAAACAAAAATAATATATGCACTCACTATTTCAGAAAAAAATCACTCTTTTCATTTATGACTCCAGTTACCCTATATTTTTTATAGCAAGGCTGCAGATTTTGTACAAACTTTTTGTAATCTACTTATTATTTTTTGCCATTGTTGGTGATCACAGCAGACCAGTTTCATTCTTTTCCTTGAACTCAAATATTGTTTAGAATTGATAAAATTTTTATGCATTCTGATAATTTGGATTTTGAAAAAAGATTTTTTCCAGTTTGAATCATAATTCATTGCACAGTTTTATTTAAATAAATACATAATAAATTAAACACAGCAATATACTCAAGTTATTCAATATTTCCTGTTAAAATTTATAACAAATTGAACAAAAAATTGAAAAAAAAATCTGGTATGCCACATCATGGCTACTAAAATTCTAGTGACTCTGCCATCCACAGGAAAATTATATGACACTGACACTTTGAATTTTGTTTTCAAATATCTTACTGAAGTAGTTTCTTCAAATAAACAATTAAGTGTTCAGTGTTGTGGTGTGAAAATTAGGGGAATACTTCTGATCCTCAAGTTTTCACTCCACTTTTGCCCATTCTAGTATCTGTCTAGTATTTCTGTTGAGCTTGAGATTGTGTGTGATCATGTGATGAAATGCTTGTGGACTGAGTTGGCTCTAAAATGTTGCCAATATACAGTGTGTAAACCTATGATGGACAGAGAATCATATTTCCATAATTAAATTTTATTTTTGAAAATGTATTTTTTTTTTTTCACTTGAAAATTTTCATCTCCCAGATCAACCCATTTGAAATTTTTGAAGGGGTCAAGTTATACCTTTTCAGAGAGGTATTTCTATTTCAAATCTATGCAATGGCCTATGATTTTTCAATTTCGGTCCAAAGATTGAAAATTTATTGGTACTGGTAGGTACTGATTTATTGTATTACTAGTACAGTAGATTTACCTACATTCAAAATGGGTTTTTCATCCTGATTGTCCATCTATGCCTATGTACAATGAAACAATACCTACCATTACATTGTACATATCAGTAGTTGGATATTCAGTATGAAAATGTAGGTAAATTAACTGTAACAGTTAAACATTGAAACAGTACCTAGCATTACCTAAAATTTTGTCCAATATTTCAATGAATCTTTCCACTGCTCTCTTGTGGATATGGCTTAACCAAATTTGAAAAACAAATTGACCACTGTATAGATATTCAAAATAATTTTCTTACAAGGTGTGTCTTGACCTTCTGTGCAATTTAAAAATTTTGAAGAGGTTGATCTGTAGGGTAGGATTACTCAAAATATATTTTCATTATGGAGGTATGGATTTCATTCCATCAGAGGTTTCCACACTGTATATTCTGAAATCGGTTATCTGAAGGTTCTTTTCAAACCATTGTGATGGAGACTAGCAGTTGCTTTTCAGTAATTAGTTGTGATTTTTCTTCACTTTTACTTATATACTTTCCAAACTTCAAGATGACAATTCCATTTTTATATTTTCTCACTCACTCACAGATTTTCAAATTTCCTTGAATGATTTTCTACTGGATATTAGTGATAAGATCCAATTATCCAAAAATTATTCAACATGATGTTCATATCAGATCTAAGAGACATCTACTTCCTTGCCACTATTAACCTTTATGTGCCACCATATTTATGAACTGTGGCAACGTTGCTTTGTTCTCTCTTCGGATTCTGCTCATTTCATACGCCCTCCATGAGTGACTATCTCATTGAGTAAAATTTTGGGTGGGAAAATGGGTCTTGCCCCAATTCTCATTTTGATCCCCATATTTTTTTCAATTGTACCATTCAATAGTATACATACTAGGGCTGGGAAAAAATATCGATATATCGATAAATATATCGATATATCGATATATCGAATAACGATATTCAAGTTTTTAAATATCGATATATCGATTACTATCGATAAATCGATAAATCGATAAATATCGATAAATATCTATAAATATCGATATGTCGATATATCGATAAATATCGATATATTGATATATCGATAAATATCGATAATTATCGATAAATATCGATAAATATCGATAAATATCGATAAATATCGATATACAGTGTGTCCAAGATAAGGAACAAGCAAGAAGCAACTGTGAGAAGAGGATATCTTTATTTAGAGAATAATGGTCATCATTTTGAACAATTGTTATGAATGTTTCTGTTGGTATTGCCAAAATTAAGTTATTGAAGTAATTCGTGTAAGAATTCATAATTAATTTGAAGCGCTGCATTGAATAATATGGTGAAATATTTTTTTTCCACTTTTCGGTATTGAATAACTATACATATAGTCCCTCAATGTTTGACACTAAATGATCAGAAACAAGTGGAACTGATGGCATGTTTCCTTTAGAATTACGAAAACACATTGATGATGGCTAAAAATAGGTCTAAACACATCGAAACCACCTTATACATGGTTGAATTCAGAATAAAAAAGTTTTCAGAATCTGTGAAAAAATTATCAGGACCGTATTTAAAAAACAAAAGTTGAGGATGTTTCTACGGATACAAAACGTCGCATAAAAAAATCGGTTATCACCACGTTAAACGTCATCAACAGTTGCCATGAAAAAGTTTTTTCAGTTTTTTTGTATCTAATAATAACGGAGAAAAAAAATAGATATTCCAAAAATTCACTTTTTTCGATATACCTGAAAAACTAAAAACAAGTTTGAAAAGTTTTGAGGGCTGTTGGTATGAGCCTCCGAATGCGCAACTTTTTCCCCATTCAAACGACTCCGTATCTCCTATACCGTTTCCGAGATCCCCATGTTGTGCAACCTTATCTTGGACAGACTGTATATATTTGAATAATGAAAATTGGTACAGGTATATTTGTATATTTCAATTGTTCCTGATTCCGAATCCATCATTATTATCCGTAAAAAAAAAATCCCTAATAGTACTTTTTGGAATATGAGTCAATAAAATTGGTCGCAGTTGGCCACACGATAACAGTCCAAAAATAAAGTCACTCTCTTAGTGGATGGACGTTTCAAATACCTATCCATCAATAAAAAGTTTTTCAAAATCGATCAGATAATAACGATTTTAGGTGGTAAGTCCTTAACGTGGACACTAGGGCTGGGAAAAAATATCGATATATCGATAAATATATCGATAAATATATCGATATATCATTATATCGAATAACGATATTTAAGTTTTTAAATATCGATATATCGATGACTATCGATGACTATCGATAAATCGATAAATATCGATAAATATCGATAAATATCGATAAATATCGATAAATATCGATAAATATCGATATATCGATAAATATCGATATATCGATAAATATCGATATATCGATAAATATCGATATATCGATAAATATCGATAAATATCGATAAATATCGATATATCGATATATCGATAATTATCGATAAATATCGATATATCGATAAATATCGATAATTATCGATAAATATCGATATATCGAACTTATCGATAAATTTCAACTTATCGATAACCGATAACTGAAATCCAATATCGCGCAGCCCTAACATACTTTGAGCCTTCTTAGGGTTTAGATTTGATGTTTTTATTTTGATAACACCTTGTATAAGAAGAATTATATTAGTTGGGGAGATTCCTCAAGTTGAATTTCTCATATAAAAGGTTATTCTGTAAACACAACCATTTGGTTTTAAGGGAGTCACCAAAGTCAATACATCTTTATCAACAGTAAAAACACAAGAGCTCATTTTTTATCGGATAAATTTCTCTTGCTAACGAAAAACATTTGCCGATCTGTAATTTTAGGAGAAAAACTGACATGAAAAAATGGCGAGACCTAGGTCGAGCAAATTCAGCAATGTCAGTTTTTTTAGAGAAATAACTGATGGAAAATGTTTGAGTTAGTATAGAAATTTATCCAATTGAAAAATAAGTTCTAGTGTTTTTTGGCAAGATAAATCAAGGACAATATACAAATAAACAACAATAATGAAAAACGGCTCATCTTGCTTATTTACGCGTGAACCATACGGGTCTTTTGTTGATCTGAGACCATACCCATCAATCAAACTTGACATGACAGAAATTGGAGTGACATCAGGCGCAAATAGCTACTAGATCAAAGGAGCAGGCCGTTTATCAGCGATAAAAAAGGTGAATCATTTTTTATCGATGTCAAAAAGACTCACGTCGTCGTCAAATAGCGTTTCCGTGTAGGAGTTGATTTATCAACAGTAAAAACACAAGAGCTTTTTTTTATCGGATAAAGTTCTCTTGGTAACGAAAGAAGGTCTAGCAATTTTGTCTAATGTCAGTTTTTCGAGAGAAATAACTGATGGAAAATATGTGACTTAGTAAGGAAATTTATCCAATTAAAAACAAAGTTCAGTGTTTTTTGGCAAGATAAATCAACGGCAACGGGAATATCAAGTCAGAAATAATTGAAAATGAATTCAAAACTCTCAATCTCTCACAAAATATAAATTGCAGCAAAGATTTGAATAAAAAAACGGCAAAAATTGATCCCTGTTGCCAGGATCCCTGGAGCAGAAGCAACGTCAACGTCGTTAACTGCTGAATTTTAATCTGTCAGAATCGACACAGTAGTGGATCATTCAGATGGGATTGGCAATGCATGATAATTCGTATGTATTTGCTATTTGCGATTGCGAATTACCTCAAGATCGCAATTTCCAGAATCAATGAAATAGTAACATCGAAGGAATAGGTACCTGTTTATATAAATTGAATTATTTCTAAACAGATGGAGGAACTTAAAGAAATTTCAATAAACATGATTGAATTCATTGCGCGCCCCAAGGCAAAGGTATCTGTCTGTGACTAGCAGCTGATATTGGTATCCTAGATGAGTCGGGATTGGCGCAGTGGAAGAGCGTCCGTCTCACGACCGCAAGGTCGTGGGTTCGATTCCCAGCACGGGCAAGGAACTTTTTTCAATATTTTATTTACGAATTAAATATTGTAAAGTTTCGGAGCATCGGCTGGGGATAGTCCTGCAAGATTCGCTGTTGCGTTCCAATTAACAGTGCTGCTCCTAAAGTGGCGCATGGAGTTAGTAACAAAGCCTACACAGAACACGCAGAAAGATATGATGATGTGGTTGTGAGCATCAGAGAAGAAGTAGGACGGTGTATGTAGGTGGGTGTGGAAAACTACCAGCTGAGCGTGAGAGCGGGCCAGCTGCTTAAGTAGACCTCGGTCTCGGGGGTTAACGATGATAGTTAGCAGGCCTGCCACTGCGCATATGGTAGTGAGTACATTACTAGCCTACAAAACACAGCTGAATAACTCTGAAAAGAGAGCTGATGGGTGGTGCCTGAAAAGGATGTTAGCCAGCTCTCTTGAGCGAACCACATCAGTCATTGAAAACACTTGGGGTTTGCAAAAAGGTCCCATTGGGGACTAGTTGCTGACGTGGAAACGTCCCCCACCAGTACCAGTTGGTATCCTAGATGACGTCACATAATATGCGCGTAGGCACACCATCTTCTTCTTCCACTATGGTCACCATTAATTAAGTAGACACTTTTTTTTCTCTTTTCCCTTTTTTTTTTTTCATTCTCTTTGGGCAGAATGTAATTTTTCAACCTAATGGCTGTAAATAGGAAATAGTTTCAACAACAAGATGTAGTGTTTAAAAAACGTCAAATTTATTTTATTGTTAAATTTCAATTGTTGATGCTGTGATGCTATTGTCCTTATGCCATCTTGATTATATATAGTTAATTTCTATCGTAAAGGTGAATCCGTTTATTATTAAATAAATAAATAAATAAAATATTTCCTAAAATTGTTTGGTGGTTCATTAATTTATTGGAGAAGTGTAGTTAGCGAATTCAGCCCGAGATATTAGCCGAAATGTGGGTACAACGCGATGTGGGTGCTATGAAATGTGGGCACAACACAGTGCACTCATGAAATAATTATTGTTAATAGGCCCACAATGACCGTCCCATGAAATTCCAGAAAATTTTCTCAATTCCAACCAATCCAATTTAATTTTCCTTCCGCACCAACATAACGTTATTCTCTTCTCCATAGAACTGATATCTGTTGGTTGTGGAGCGACAATCCTTTGAATTTTTTGGCCAGTGAAGTATTCCCAAGAACCTCAAACAATTGACAGAAAACCTATACCCTACCTTCTCGCATTCGCTAACCCAAATTAGAAATATGTTTGACGAACATAATAAGGATTATTATCGTGCGATCTAGAAGATGAAGAATAAAAATGATCAATTGCAATTATAAATTTCGATTCACATTCTCTAGGTCTCACAGTGGTATGAACTGGTTGTTTTCACTGCAAGTATGGAAATTTATGGTGCTGCAGTAGCTGACAAACTAGATGCAGGGAGGGGGATACTTCAAAGGCGGTTTTACAGGCAGCACTGTACATCAAAGTCTTACACTTATACTAAAGATTTGAGTGCCATTTGTAATGATCTCTCGAGTGTGTTCATCTTGGACAACAGTCCGGGTGCATACAGAGCTTACCCTGGTAAATATCGAAACAATTCAACTAGAAAATTGTCTGAAAGTGTGATTTTTTAGACAATGCGATACCTATCAAGTCCTGGTTCTCAGACCCTACAGACGTAGCTCTGCTCAATCTCCTCCCGGTACTTGATGCTTTGCGTTTCACAGCAGATGTCAGATCGGTTCTGTCAAGAAATCTCCATTTGCACAGGCTATGGTAGATAGGTGAGTTGTCATCTAACCCTTTGCTACTTAGCCATTTGTAATTTCAGCTCTAACAGGAGTGATTTATCTGTAAATGATAACTCAAAAGTTAGGAGAAGTAATTTGACAAAAGATTTGAAAATAATCGAACAAACTGAAAATAGTATAGACAATATTGTTACACAAGTACAAGAGTTTCACTTGCCTCCCAAAGAGATTAAAAAATTCCATTCACACATACCTCAAAGATTGTTGAAGTAATTCTGTCACAATGTGAATTCATTGGGAATTCAGCATGTTTACAGAAAGATAGATGGAAGTAGATAATGTTGCTTGAGTATTTTTAAAAATTAAGAATTAATATTTAAGTAGTTGTGACAATGAAATAGATCTCTAAAATTATCAGACCTGGTTTGTCTATCTTTCTTTGATTCATCTGAGGAGTATCCATGTACTACTTCATTATGAAGACTAATTATAGTCACTGAGTCGTAGCTATGTAAATTTTTAGTTGAGATGTACATAATGCAAATAAATTTTGTTCCATCTGTATGAATTTTATTTTGTTAGCATACTTGAGTCTTTAATTAAGGAATAATATATTGCTCTCTTAGTAAGACTAACATTTTTGTACATCCTTGAATGTTTGAATTTGAGTTCAGTTTAATGGTTCTCCTTATATTTATTTCATCATTTTATTTTTTATCACATCTTAATTGTTACAGAAAAAGGATATATCAATTTAGTTATATTCACCTTCCTAACAACAATCAACTTCATTTTTATGCCTGTTCTGTTAAATATTATTTTGTATATTTATTCTATTTTCTGTTTAGTTTGTTTTAGGCTGTAATATATATTTTTTAAGATGTAAATATTGAGTTTTAAAATTGTTTATAACATTATATTAGGTGATCAAATACATATTGCTATGTATTTAGTTGTTTCCTGAAGGTACTAATGATTTTTTATTTAAATGTGGTTTTAAAGGTGTTCTCGATTTTCAACTTTCATTGGAATCTCCACTTATTTGTCATTATTAAAAAGTTTTTTCTTCTACTGTGGAGTATGATACCTTTTGTTATTGTTTAATGATTTGTCATTAATTTTTCTTATACTCTCACTTTGAATAAATACAAAAGCTTATTTTCTAACGGATCGGCTAATATCAGATTTTTTTTCACTTTTATTTCTCCAAAAGCTTTACATCTTGGTATACCATATTCATGGGGTGACATTTCTTATCTCTGTATTGTTTGAAAATTGCTAATCTCCAACTATTGCATACCAGGATGTAGAGCTCTCAAAGTACTGTGTTAAAAAATGGTCACTGGAGCAATTTGAGGAGGTTTAATGGGGGCCTTTGATCCAAGTTGCCCACCTGAAAACCTCTACAACTGTAGAAGCAATACTATGGACGTTTGATTAAATAGCTTTGTTTTGGTGAAATCTGATTGTAGGAGTCTACTCAGCTTTCTAATGAGTTATTTAGAAGAAAAATTAGTTTTTGTGAACTTCACATCTGGAAAATCATGTTGGTGCATTTGCAGTACATCAATACTGAAATGTAAATACATTCAATAGTGTCAGTAGTGTCACGAGTAAAACATAGTATATCAATAAATTACTAAATCAGTAAGTTCAACAAGTAGAATGAATGACCAAGAAACTCCTATGAGAAACGTGCAAGCCTATAATAAACTGGATGTGAGGGTTCCAAAGTTATATGGCCTGGGGCTACTCTCGACTGGTAATGGTAATCAACATAAAATTGCTATTAGGTCTTTTATTGTTGTTGATTTATATTTCCTCACTACCCATAATATCTCATGCTATAATAAATATTCTTTGAATAGTCTTGTGATTTTCAGCTACTCTCGAACTATCTGTGTCTACAATCAGATTTAATCAAAATTAAAAAATGTCAAAATTAGGAACTTCAAAATATTGTAGGTAAGGGTCATCGTCAATAAGCTTCGTTCCAAATATTGTGATTTCAGTTCAACAATTTGGAGTACATTTTGAAATGAGTCAAGAATCTTCCACTGATAGCGCAAATATCCCTATTACATACACATTGTTGATAAGGATGTGACGGTTGAGTTATTGGCAATGAATGTATACTGATTTAGACCTGTTTATATGACATTTCAGTGGATCTTGAGTTTTAGAGAATCTTTAAAACCTCATTTATTCGGGTGGCATGGTGATGATATTTTCATATCAAACAAAAACCAAAGATGAATAAAATATGTTTTGTTGTTATTCAAATGCCACTAGTGGGTTGTAAGTCCATTCAATTTTATTTTCCATAATTCCGTTCAAGGTCGTATCTCGAGGGGAAAATTGCAAAACTTCAACAAAACAAGAAAGGAGAAGACTTTCAATACCGCCATTATTTGATTCCTCAGAAACTAGGATAAACTGTCCCTCAGTGAGCCAGTTTTGAATATAATAAACGTCCATTCAAAATGATTCAAGTTGATTCACTGTGTACCGTCTTATGGAAACAGTGAATCAGTTGATGAATTCACAGGAAACCAGTAACAAAAAAAAAAGGTGAATATATCAAAAACATATATTTTCCTACGACCACCTATGAGCAACAGCACACCGTATTGTTGCTTAGAAAGTATCTCATATCACCATAGCTATGCGAAAGTGAAAACGATCAGTGTGGCAATATTCCCGCACGCTCATGTGATCTTTGTTTGGTCAATAGGTATCATGTATGGATGATTAAAATACTGATTTATTATATTTTAATTCATACTATCATTGCATAATATACATTTTTCGCTAGAGTTAAAATTTTGTCCCATGAGAAGTAATGATTGTTTAGGTTTCTGCCGTTGCCGTTTTGACATAATCTGCGAGAAATAACCTCATTGCTGTCAACACCGGTGTGGCTCGGGGACGACGGGGAAACTTCGCATTCAATAAAAAATATGATTTCCCAATCGTATCACATTCAAATTTTATTCTTCGGGAAGAAATAATGATTTACTTACCGAATAATAAGTTAGATTGAATTTAACATAGTTATATAAAAAACAATTAAATTTTGTAATCTGTGTTTCGAATTATATATTCATGGTCGTAGGAAAAATAGTGTACATAACTCGTTGGAAAGTGTATTTCATGCACTCGTTACATTCCCCACTCGCCGCAACGCGTCGTCGTGCTAAATATCACCTGTGCGAAAAACAAAAACTGAAAGATATGAGACAGTTACAACAAAAAGTAGAAAGATAAATGGAAGAATAATTCGCTACTTTTATGAATATTTTCTAGATGAGTATTATAGTATGCAGTGAACCAGTCCATAGACATCACACACACACACAATCATATGGCTCACTGTGTACTGGTTCACTGTTAAATTTCAATAAATATGAAGAATAAATTATTAAAGAAATAATTGCGAGACTATTTGAAACAGTTTCTACACTTTTCAATGCTGAAATAGATATTTTCAAACCGACAATACCTTACATCGCCAAATAAATACGCAATTAGTGAAAAATCATAACGTGAACGCGGAATAATGCAGTTTTGATCACCTAACTCAAATCACTATCTCACTGCGTGTTCTGGGATAAACTCGGAGACGGAGGCGGTTAATGATGACAGATATGGTGACATCAGCGCTTCTCTCTAAATATTGGTAGGTGTAAAATTAAAAATGGTTGACTGTGTACGGTGGTTTACTGTGGGACAGTTTACCCTATACCTAATTCAAAATCAATTATTTCACATAACTGAATAGAGAATTTTGAGATCTTTGAAAGGGAGTAGATACCTACCACTAGGTGGAAGGTTTGCTCTTTATATACCTAATATCTCATAAAATTCAGTTATTGATAATGGGCACTAATAGGTAAAAAATTGTACTGAGGTATAATGGCCTTGGTTGATAACCCATTGGATCATATGTGTCTGTTCAATTAATATTATTATTGCCACTATATTCTCATTGTGAATACATACATATAACGATTATCAATGGGTTATCAAGCTTGATAAATTTCCAATATCATTCCATGATTGAATCTGTACTGTATACTTGAATCATGAGTATCTATTTGGACATTGTTGTATCACTTTGACAGGAATTCTAGAAAATATAAATAATATAATGGACTTGACTTGCATAGTCTTTTAATGATTCTACCTGATTCTACCCATAAACATGCAGTGAACATTATTTCATCCCGACAAACGATGTTCACTTAATTGATGAAGAAGCTCAACAATTTTGAACTTGTGAAGTTGATATTGATGAAGTAGTCGAAAATTGATGTTTTGAATTAGATAATCTTAGTAAGTAGAAATGGGTAATATTTTCTGTATCAGAAAGTGATTCTTATACTTTTGTTTTCACTTCTATAGAATAACTCTTTTGGTTCCTTGTTGTTAGGTTGAAGAATCACATGAGTAGAGTTCGTCGCGCTCATAATGGCGACGGCATTGGTTTTCAAACGGGACCTATCAGTTCTATCAGGATCCAATTCTTGGTAAAACTGCACTTATCATGCGATGGGTTTTTTTCGAAAATGTTCTTTGGTACTTTCGTATTTTTGTCTGAAAAACATGAATTTGATAATGTCAACAACATTTCAACTGTCGAAACTATTCATTATCGGCCAAAACGGCTCACATGTCCCTATCTCATCTTTTGATTCACTATTTACTGATATTTAATCGGAACAGATACAGTGAATCATGAACGAATCTGTATCTGTTCAGATTAAATATAAGTAAACAGTGAATCAAAAGTTGAGATAGGGACATGTGAGCCGTTTTGACCAATAATGAATAGTTTCGACAAAAAAAATCATAAAGTTGAAAAATCTCGATACGCAAGCGCAACTTTAGTACATTCTGATGTCACTGGATGGTATTAGTTAGATAACTTATGCCACCCAGAGACTTAGATAAAATCAGCTCTTCAGGGAGAAATATCAATGTTGCTACTACTTTCTTGTAGAAGCGGCAACACTTCAATGTCGAAAATATTTGTAATGAAGAGAGCGTATTCTAAAATATAAGCTTGCACATTTTCATGGATTTCTCCTGACTGATTCTCGATATAATGATATAGTGTAACCTCGCCGCGATATAACCTGTATATCTGCCCCATTCCTATATAATATGTTGAAATTTTCATAACCAGTAACGACACAATGTAAAATTGCAATAGTAACAACTCACCGGCAAACTTTTTTGAAATTCAAATAAGCCCATTTTCATGTAGCAGAAGTCACGTGACCCCGACCGAGTGGTCTATTTTTCATATTTTTGAAGCAAAATTTGACGCCCTGAAGTCGAATTTCGAAGGAATTTATCAATAAAAGTTTTTCCCATATGATGCCGACTTTATGAATGAATTACACTGTAAAACATCTCAGTTCTAATGATCTAATTTTGACACACTGAATAATAAAATTCTCTTTTTTCAACTTGCTTTTGTTATTCTTTGATTAGATTTGAGCAAATAGAGTAAATATTCATCTTTCTTCAACTGAATGCCTATTAGAAAATAGAGGGTGTTGAATCAAGCCATTTATGATTAACTTCTTAACTTCTACACTGTATGGACATTTTTGATAGCAACTAGTACAATTTTTGTCCATTATATCAACAATGTATCAGTTCAGTATTCAAATTCAAATACTAAATTTGATGTGGTATTTTGGGTATAGCCTAAATACGAATTACCGCATTAATATGTCTTAAACATTTAATGTTCAATAAATGATTAGGTACCTACCAATAATGTTCAAAAGGCATTTTTTGATGCAGGAAATTTCTTCAATACATCTACCAGTGCTGTCCGCACGGCATTTATACTGGAGTTTTTTTTAATATTGTACGCCTTTTGCTTTTTCCAAAAATAAAAATCATTTTCAAAATCTTCATTCATTTCACAACAATTTGAGAGTGAATTTTTTCCGTCTGAGCATCATTGTGGTATAATGAAAATTTTTGAACTAGTTGCTAGTGCCCTATTTTGTATTTAAAATAATGACGTTTGATCGATTACGTTGCGGTCTTATTTTCACAAATGTTCATAAACGTGAAGTTTTTCACACTGTGAAAGTTTTTTCAATCAATAATTAAGAGAAAGTACAATTTTTACACCCTATAGCTCGAAAGTCAAGGGGTTTATGGCATATGGTCATATGAACTTTTCTTCTTGAAATGACCTGAGGAACCATATCCTATATTTTCAGCCATCAATTAAATTACACCCTGTACATTGAAATAATTGCTACTATTTCCATTTAGAGAACCCAAGGAAAGAATAAATTACAAAAAAAACATCTATTTATTGAACTATGAATTTTGTAGTTTGATAGAAATATTCCTGCACCACTAACTGTCAACATTTCAATTATTGATAGTGCTGCTTTTATGTGGCGTGTAGAGATATTAACAAAGTCAACACAGAACACATCATTCAGAATACGTTGGGCTGAAATACCTTGGTCTAGGTCGATGGCCAACTGACATACGTATACATACCAAAGTTAATTTGCTACTACCATTCAAGAAATGCATTGCTTAAGTACAGGACAACACTTAAGATGCCTAGAGACTTACAAACTTATCAACATCTCACACATAAGTGAACATTCACAAAGAGTCATGGGTATCTAATAGAAAGAATGCGACGTTGCCATTATACCTACTAGAAGGCAAGGTTTGGCAGTGTCGCTTTATTTTTCTCTATCAGCTGTGTTATCAGATACTAGGCGTACTCACTTCGATATAATATGGTTTCCCAATGAGATATCTTTTGCAAAACATGTATAGACCTCTTTCTGTAATATGTCCTTTGAAAACCTTATACCGTCGACCTGAGCAGGATCAAATGAAGAGTTGGTACTAACAGTACAAATAAAACACTGATGGTAATGTACAATTTTTCAACTTTTTTTGCTATTTTCCCGTTGGTTTTAGGAAGTTGGAAGTTTATTGCATTTTATCCATTTCTTCTCATGAGTTACACTGCATAGCTGCTAATGTATGTATGAAAACGTTGAATATTTTGGTGTTTCTTACATTTTTCTCTGGAGAATTATAATGATGTCCAGCCTTGTTATTTCATGTTAGTTGGTTTTTCTAAAAATATATGTATATACTTAGTAGGTGTAATTGAATTTAAATTGTTAAGATCCATTGCCACACCATCAATCACATGAATGGTACAATTATTCCATGGAACAGAAAGTACCTAATGACTTACAATTTAAAAATGTACATTATTGACTAGACCGAATAATAAAAATGAATAGTGAACATTGAAAACGTTTTTTTTTTATCTTTTACATCCAAATAAATAATGCATATATCTCAGTATCAAGGCCTAAGGGGGACATTTGCTTTGAACATGAGGTGCAATACTTTCAATAACAAATGAAAAAAATTGTAACAAAAAAGTGTATTCAGACTTTATACAATAACATAACTAAAAATGCAAAAAATGGTCTGCCTGTATAGTCATTATTCTCAAGTAAAATTCAAAAATAGAAACCTGTACAATCCTAAAATCCAGATTGGTAACTAAATATATTACAAACACATCTCATACCAATATTTAAAAAAATAGAATATACTATAATAATTTCAAATTAATCTTTGTCTGTATCATCCCTATTGCTTTTCCTGCTGTGGCAGGATTCTGAATCACAGTCCCTGGAAGAATATCTGAAAAATATAATGAATCAATATGAAGCAACATACCAAGATGAAAATAATTACTTCATAAACTCATGCAAATTTTTAACATAGCTCATCATGTGTTCTGCAAAAAATAAGTAGTGTTTCAGTGCTCTCCTACACCAATTTTGGAAGAAAATAAAAAAGACAGTTGATACTTTCAAACATTGGAACAACTTTAAACATTCTTATTGCACTAAAATACTGGAAGAAAAAAAATTACATTATTTCTAAACTGGATTCACTGGTTTTCATGCCATGTTCAGGTTCTGATGACCCAGATCCTGATGCTACTTCTTCCAGCAGGTCTTCTTTTCTTTCTTCTGCATCTCTGTCATTCTCATCATGGTTATCAGGTGATACACTGGACATTTGCCAAGCAGGAATGGAAGGGGGTACCACAGGACTATTCGCCACAGATGGAAACTGTTTCCTTGAAAAATACAAAATGGGTGAAGTTGCTGACTTAGGTTAGGTTAGGGTCAAAAGGGATGGGTCTATTTGGCTCTCCACTTGATAATGATTTTGATACAAATTCAAAATTTTACAAAAAAAATTTCATACATTATAATGTGAATTGCCATGATGGTTGGAAGTACACACAACCTGGCCATAGACCTTATGAAATTTCCTTCAGCCCATGTGCTCTGTACAGCCTTGTTACTGACTCCATATGCTACCTTAGGCTCAACATTATCATTTGGAATGTAAGAGTGAATCATCAACTATGTATATGGCTAAGGCTATAAAATTTAGAATTTACAACACCTTTTGAATGAATAATCTCTATTCTGCTGGGGACTCATGACTGATGATGAGTCAAGTAAGCCCCCCACTATGCTGCATTCAATTCTACATTCTAGACACATTTCCTCTAGGAATTCAATGTACAAACAACTATCTACAAAATTTCATGCTGGACTATTGTTTCAAAATATCATAAAATTGTACTCACCTGCCTAAAAGAAGTCCTTTTACACTAGCAATTTCTGATTTAAGATCTGTAAGTTGACGATTGGTGCTGTTTTCAGAAGACTCATTGATTTTATGCACTTCTACCTTGACACTCTGCAAATCATCTTTCAACTGGTCCACTGATGCTTTCACATTTTTATCTAAATCTTCAATGGACTCTTTGACAGACTTCTTTTTCTTACCAAAGAGAAATGGGGAAATATATCTCTGAAGAGAATATCATGTGATTAAGGAATTGGTGGTTTTCAAAAGGAGCAATACTGACCTCATAAAACTTGTGAATTACATAAGCTACTATACTGAATATTGCTACATTGTGGACTAGATCCCTCAATCTATCAAAGAAGTTCAAATGAAATGGGTATGGCTGATAATGACTGATGGTGCCTGGAACAATAGGACGAGGTGGTGGTAGATGAGACTGTTCCTGATGCCTCTCATAAGCTCCAGATTTCTCACAGGCAACCTGAATTTCTTTATCTGTTAATCCCTTTCGTTGAAGAAATTTTTGCTTTTGTGCTAGTGGTGTGTTGACAACATTTGGGTTTTCCAGAAATTTTATTGCAGTTTGTATCTGTTAACAAAAAATGAATCAGTTGGAGAAAAAATGTACAATAAGAACTTACCATTTCTTCTCGAACTGAAGGTATATTCGTGAGTGGATCTGAGACAGTGGTGGTGGAAGCCATGACAATGTGTATGTAAAGATCTTGGGAATTGAATATTTATACTATTTCAATACTAGTGATGGTGAATAGCAGTGATCACTTATCAGCTTATCACAATTTGAGCCACTAAATTACCTACAATCAACTTCAACATTTGAGACAAGTCTATAGAGGCATTTGAGAATTTGAGATAATCAATCAGCTTCAGCTATCAGCACAGCACTCAGCACATCTAACAGTATCACTTATCAGCTCAGCTCAGTGGCAGCCCGGCCACAATCTTCGGCGGCCCAAAGTCCAATTGACTAAATTGACATTTGACTCGACTTGTGTTGTGTGCGGGCTGCAAGGCGGGCTGTGGTTATAAATTTGTGCGCCAAGGTCATCAGATGACGTTGGATGACATCAAGATGACATTTATAATAATATGACATTATGTTTTATGTCTATCATAGAATCATAGATAAACTAGAGCGACTAATAGAGTGTAGTTTGCTCCAAGGTGTTTGCTCTAGTTTGTTTTTTGTTTATGATGCCTGAATGTGATGCCTATCCAATGACGGGTGTATCTTTCAAATCTAAGCCAGAAGCATCAGAAGTTGAGCCAGAAGTTAGGAATGTTTTCTCGTAGCTTTCATGTCATCGCAACCTCTGATGATTAGAGTCCCTTGATGATGACCTTGACTACCGTGAATACTGTGCTTACTCAAGTGCTTACTAGCTTACTACTGCTTAGTATTATTTATTACATTTGCAACATAGGGACATTTATTACATCATAATATAGAATCGTATAGAATTAAGCTAAATAAAGGTAATATTCTTTAGTTGCGTTCTATTTATGACACTGTCATGTCACAGAATACTCATGTCTACCTACATAATCGCCGCGGCGGTTCGATACTGATACGTAAACAATAAACAATGTTCTAGAATCCACTAAGTTGGCAACACTGCTGGAATCTGCTGGTTGAGGACAAAATTCCCCTGGTTTTGAAAAAAAAAATATAATTACAACAACGTAAAGCTAGAGAAGAGTTTTTAGTGAAATACTGGTTTCATGAAATCACTGTCCAACAGCTATACATTTTGGTTTTTTTTTCTAGGGAATTAAATGTTTTTTATTTTTCTTGTTTTATACCTAGCATATGCAAGTAAGTCATTGATGTTATGAAGCATTTGTTTTGTTTCCTGTGGGGAAAGAAAACTATCTAGTGATCTAAACCATAGATCACAATAAGATTTATATGATCTAAACTGTTGTTAAAGTTGAAACCACCAGAAAATCACTAGATATGGAAAAAAATTCGCCTGCGGCGCGTTTTCCTTCGATTCCGTCAGGTTGGGTGGTTTTTTGGTGTTTTTCAGGTAGCCATTCTGCGACTTTTGAAAATCTGAGTTGGCAACACTGAAAAGCAGACGCAGACCACCGCAGACGCAGAGTCTGTTCAGTCTGTCAGTTTCTAGTGGCTTTGGTGTGGTGTTTTGAAACATTTTAAGTTGATTTTGACTGGTAGGAATTTTTTTCCAATGTATGGAATTTTTATAGGTCGTGTACGGAAAACGTATTTGAAAGGTTGTTTGTTTTCGTTGTTGGTTCAGTTGGTTGGCATTAGAGTCCCTGTATGTATTTGACACTAAATCCTTACTCTTCTATCGAAAAACTAGTGCATCCTAAAATTAAATAAATCGACTCGACATATACCCTTTGTTGAGTATACCGAGAAATCCTAACAATAAAATAACTTACAAACTATGACCCCTTTTGGCCAGTGAGATGAGACGCCACTTCTTTATGAAAAGAAAGACAAAGAAAGATATATGGATGTACCCCTCACCGCGGCAGTAGAGGAAAGAAGATCCGAAGTACATGGTGTTCAATCAAACCTTCAAAGTCATTTTGAGAATTTGGGGTTATGCCTTCTGTCACTGCTTGTCATAGTGTCCGTACTCTAAACTGTCAAATACATACAGGGAGGGACTCTAATTGGTAATTGCCCTAATTGGCATTACTCAGTGAACAGCTTCAGACTCCAGAGTCCACTGACCCACATATTTTCTTGTACAAAATCGTTCAAGAAACTAGAAAGCGAAAACGAAGAGTGGACATATATAGATAAACTCAAGAATCTACAATAATTTCATGAGGACAATGGTGTAAATGATATGACTTCATGAGGTCTATGAGGATCCCTCTGACTTGGAGACTGGGTGACTGGACCACACAGCTTGGAACTTGTATCTGACTTGGGTTGAGTTGGGTTTGACAGTGATGAGTGCTGTTGAAAATTGAAATGAAACATCTGTCTGTAATCAGAATATATCTTTGCAGTCCTTCTCCATATTCAGAAGCATTGCTCAATGTCAACAACACAGTAAAATAGAAAATACCTATTATTATTAGGTAGGATAGATTTTGGACAACACAACAGCTGCAGGAATAATACCATACAGCTGATCTCTCATTCATTTGATGCTTAGGTTACATTATAAGTTTCATATCCTGAAATAATAGCTGATTAATACAGTGATTTGCTCACTCATGCTGGATCTGCATTGAAAAATTGAACTATTTATCATAAACAATAATGGATGCAGATGACAAGGACAGGAAGGATACAGAACAAGCCAATGAAAATCATAAATCAAATGAAATATCCTATTCAACTATTAATAATGTTGATTCTGATGACATTGACCAAGAAACAAGCTTGAAACTGAGAGGAGATGCAATAGGAGACACTCTGTACAGTCAATCTTTTGTACTCAAAACACTACTTAAATTCTCAAATATAGTGTGGAATGAACAATTTGAGGAAGATCTTTGTTTCTTGTGGGACATGACCATTGAGAAAGATGTTTGTGAATATTTGTTTGACATAAACTACCCAACAATAGCTTGTAGTGCAATTTCAATGTTTAATGAGAATAGGTTTGTTGAAATTGTTATTGGGACTTTGGCTAATATCACTTGTGCTGGTTGTGAAAAAAGGATGAGTACTGAAGAAATTGAAGTGGTTCTTCAAGAATTTGATACAGATGATCCCTTGATATTGATTCAGCTGATGAGATTTATTAGTGCTTGTGCAAACTCATCTTCAAAAATATTATTTCTGAATGAAAATACTATGAATACAATATGTTTCATACTTGATAATTCAACAAACAGTGATTTATTGATGAAGGCATTGGAGGTAACTGCAAAAATAACAGCTGATTTCAAATTGTCTGAGGAATTTGTAAACATTAGACTCTATAATGCTGTAATCACAGCTTATTATACAATAACTAATGATCATCTCCAATTAGGTGATAAAGGAACTGAATTAACTTCCAGGTATATGCTGGAATCTATTGTGAATATTTGTAGCTATATAGACCATTTCAAGAATGAAAAGTTATTATCAGAAATTAAAGAAAATTTCAACATATTTGTTCAGGAGACCCTGAAATTATTGAAGTATTTCTGTCAAGAACAAAATCTCCTCCCTGTGTCTGAAGATTTTATATTTTTTGTGTCTGCATTCAGATACATTCTTATCAATCTTAATGCAAATTATTTGCCAGAATTATTCATTTCCCTCACAAAAATATTGTATATTATTTCAAACATTAAAGAGGAAGTGCTTGATCTTTTCGAATCTCTTTCAGAATTGGTGCTTTTCTTCATTTCACGTAGTTCAGCTGACAAACTAGGAAAAGATTTGAAAAGAATATCAAAACATAAGGTTAAGAAAATCATCGGTTTACTGACAAAAAATCAATATAAATTTGAAAATGTGGCATTCATATAATAACTTTTCTTGAAATATTGGGTTTTTCACGAATAATAATTAGTAAATGGTGAATGATATATGTATTTGATGCCCAGGTATTTGCCTAAAACCTAAGAAGTATGTTCAATTTTGGTCCTTCCCTTATGTGATTAATAGATTTAATCTGGAGTAGATATCCATATTTTATTTTTGAATTATGAAATTGGCACAACTTGTGGTTACTTTGCCATTGTGATGTGAAAAGTATGTAAAGTATAAATAAAAATACATTTTTGGCAGAGTTCATTCTTCAGATGAGATACTTTTCCATCTATCCATGAGTTTATCAGGGACTTTAAAACCAGAAAGAAATAAACACAACATTTTTATAAAAATTCGTTTTGATGTGTCTTAACATGTGATGAACCACATATCTAGTGTCCATCTTCAATAAACCTCTTGAAGAATTCAAACTTTTCAAACTTCTGTTCCTGAAACGTGAACATATTCTTCTATTATTCGAAAATAAAGGGAACAGATAGCCACCAATTTTCTCCTGGACGAGAAACACTGTATATACCTATAACCCCTCAGGCGCCTACAACGGTTGCAACGAGGGTTTACCGATGCCAAGGGTTGATATCTCGGTTGATATTCTCCCCTCGTAAGGGTACCTGTCGTGTCTTCATCGAGACATAAGAGGTGACTATCAAAAAAATTTCTATGATATATCGCCTTCCACAACAAATATAAAATTTGGGAGAAATATTCGAAACAAATTGAATATAATTCGTAACAGGAATGAAAAACTTATCACCGGTCGCTGGTTTTTTCCCTCGATTAATAACACGTCGTTTCTTCGATCTGAAACATAGCTGGTATTATATCTCGAATTCAAAATATATTGAGAATTGAAATCATGAAAGTTATATGGAATAAGAAACTGGAGTATATATGAATACTTTGACAAATTCCTTTGCTGAAACGCGACATGTTGTTCTATTACTCGAAAAATGAGCGGAACAGCCTATTTTCTCCTTGATGAGAAACACCGTATATACCTATATAACCCCTCAGGCGCCTACCCCGGTTGCAACTAGGGTTTACCGATGCCAAGGGTTGATACTCTCCTCGTAAAGGTACCTGCCGTGTCTCCATTGAGACATAAAGGTGACTATCGAAAAAATTTCAATGATATATCGCCTTCCATAACAAATAATGAACTTTGAAGAAATATTCGAAATAAAGTGAATATAATACGAAACAGGAATGGGAAACTCATATTACCGGTCGCTGGTTTCTTGTCTGGTTTTCTCTGCTATAAAATTTTTTTGTTGGGCTCAAATGGATTATTATTTATCACACGGTTTTGCTTCGATCTACAAAATAGTTATCAAATCTCGAATGTGATGAATATGAAGATGACTATCGAAAAATACCCTTTTATATATCAACTTCCATAATAATAACAATAATGAAAGTACT